CCTTCATTGTAGATTAACTCTCCATATAAATGTGGGTTTATTTATGGGCTCTCAATACTAGTCCATTGGTCCATATGTCTGTTTTTAGTTCCAGTACCACACTATTTTGATTATTATATCTTTGCAGTATAGTTTGAAATCTAGCAATGTGATACCGCCACACTTCCCTTTTTAATCAGGATTTCTTTGGCTGTCTGATGTCTTTGTGGTTCCATATGAATTTTAGTAATGTTTGCTCTATTTGTTTGAAGAATGCCATTGAAACTTTGATCGGGATTTCATTGAATCTGCATATTGCTTTGGATAACATGACCATTTTAACAATGTTAAGTACTTCACTCCATAAGCAGGAAATATCTTTCTACTTCTTTCTTTTTTCTTTTAACAAAGCCTTATAGTTTTCATTGCATAGGTCCTTCACTTTCTTTGTTAAGTTTACTCCAAGGCATTTAATTTTTTTAATAAGATTGTTTTCTTGATTTCTTTGCATATAAAAATGCAGCTGGTTTTGTAAATTGATTCTGTAACATGCCACTTTGCTGTTTCAATTAATTTTTTGTGGAATATTTAGGGTTTTCTATGTATATTATTATTTCATCTGCAAATAGTGATAGTTTTACTCCTTCTTTCCCCTTCTGTATTCATTTTATACCATTCTGTTTTCTAATTGCTCTAGCTAAGATTTCCAAAACTATGTTGAGTAGCAGTGGTAAAAGTGAACATCCTTGTCTTGTACTAGATCTTAATGGAAAAGCTTTCAGTTTTTCACCATTGATAATGATGTTAGCTGTAGGTTTGTCATCTATGGCCTTTACTACACCAAAGTTTCTTCCATTCCCCCCATTCTTGAGTTTACTTTTACCAGAAATAGATGTTGAATTTTATTGGGGACTTTCTTAGCATTTACTGATATTGTCATTTGATTTTTATCCTTTTGATGGATTTCTGAATGTTGGACTATCTGCACATTCCTGGAATAAATCCCACTTGATTATGGTGTATTATCCTTTTTTAATGCATAGTTGAATTAAGTTGGCTTAGATTTCATTTAGGATGTTTGCATTTATGTTCATTAGGGAAATGGTCTATAACTTTTTTGTGTGCTGTCTTTGTTTTTGGCATCAGGATAAAATGTGTTTGGAAGTATCCCCTCTCTCAATTTTTTGGAAAAATTTGAGGATAGGCATTAACTTATTGGTGAAGGTTTGATAGAACTGCCTAGTGAAACCATCTGGACCTAGACATTTGTTTTTGGAAGATTTTGTTGCTGTTTCAATTTCCTTGCTTGTGATTTGTCTATTCAGATTTTCTATTTCTTCCTGATTCCACCTCAGAAAGTTACATATTTCTAAGAACTCTCCCCTCTCTTCTAGGTTATTCAACTTTTAGCACACAAATGTTCATTGTAACATCTTATGATCCCCTAAATTTCTGAGATAACTGTTGAGATACTACTCTCATTTCTGTTCCTATTTGAGTTTTCTTCCCCTTTTTTTGCTTTGTGAGCCTAGCTAGAGGTTTGCCTGTTTCGTTTTTTAAATAACCAGCTTTGGTTTCATTAATCTTTGGAACTTTTTAATTTCTATTTCTATTTCCTTTATTTCTGCTCTAATTTTTACTATTTCCTTTCTTATACTGGCTTTTGGTTTTGTTTGTTCTTCCATTTCTAGTTCCTTGAGGTGAGATAAGGCTATTTACTCAAGTTTTTTCTTGTTTCTTGATGTGGATCTTGATATGGAGCTTGTTTCTTGATGTGGATCTTATTTCTTGATGTGCTATATAATTCCCTATTGGTACTACTTTTGCTGTGTGCCATAGGTTCTGTTAGGTTATGTCCTCCCTTTCATTTTCCTCCAGGTATTTTTTAATTTCTTCCTTAATTTCCACACTAACCCAATAGTCACTCGGTAGTATGTTATTCAGCCTCCACATAGTAGAGATTTTTCTTGCTTTCTTTTGTGGTTGATTTTTAGTGTAATACTTTCGTGATGAGAGAAGACACTTGAAAGAAGACACTTTCAATATTGATGAATTTACTGATGCTTTTTTGTGACAATATGGGATCTATCCTGGAGAATGTCCCATGTGTACTTGAGAAGAATGTATATTCAATTTTTGGAGGGTGTAATGACTTAAAATATTGAGTAAGCACCTGTGGTCTAATTCTTTGTTTAAAGGTATGGTTTCCATGTTGTTGTTGTTTTTCTATCTGGTTGACCTTCTCATTGGTGAAATTGAGGTGTCCATGAGCCCAACCACTATTTTGTTGCTGCCAATGTCTGTTTTCAAATTCCATAATAATTGCCTTATGTATTTGGATGCTCTTTCATTTGGTGAGTGTTACGACTCTTTCATTTGATGAGTGTTATGTCAACCTGTTGTATTGTTCTTTAATCATAATATAGTGTTCATCCCTGTGTCTTGTTACCTTTTTCACCTGGAAGTCTATTTTATTTGAAATAAGTGTGACTGTCCCTGCCTTTCTTTGGGTCCCATTTGCTTAGAGGATTGTTCCAAACCTTTACTCTGAGCCTACGTTTCTCTTTGGAGTTCAGATGTATTTCCTGGAGACAACAGAAAGTTAGTTTTTTATTTTCTAATCCTACCAGTTACTCTGTGCTTTTAGATGGGTGAGTTCAATCCAATTACATTTACAATGATTAATGATAAGGGTCCTGCTACTGCCATGTTGTCCTTTGTTTTCTGGCTCTACTTTCTCGTTTAATTTTTAAGTGGATACTATTCAATTTAGAGATAAGTTCCTTTCAACATTTCCTGTTGGGGAGGTAGAGTATTGGCAAACTCCTTCAGTTTCTCTTTGTCTGAGAAGGCCTTTATTGCCCCCTTGTAGCTTAAGGGAGTCTTGCAGGATATAGAATTCTCAGCTAGCAGCTTTTATCTTTAAGTATTTTCAAGACATCATTTGCTCATACTGTTTCCTCAGAGAAGTTTGGTGTAAGTCTGACGGCAACTTCAATATTCTTTCTTTGTCTTGAACTCTTGAAGTTTCACCTCTATGTCTTGGCATAGGTTTCATTACATTTAGGTGACCAGGTGGTATCATGGGCTTGTATATTTAATTCCTTCTCCAGGTTTGGGAATTTTTCATCTTTTTTTTTTTTCTAGTGTTCACTGTTCCCTTCCATGTCTCTTCCCCTTTCTAGAATACCTATTATTCTTATATTGCCTTTCCTCCTGGAGTTGGGTAATTCTCAAACATGTTTCCTCATCTACTCTTTGTATTTCTCTTTCTTCTTCCACCGGGATTCTTTGTTCACTGCCATCTTTGAGGTCACTAATCTAATCTTCCATTTGGTCTATTCTACTTCCATGGCTTTCTATGGCATCTCTTTAATATCTTCTTTCTTTTTACATCCTGCACCCCCATTATTTCCTTATTTAAAACTTCAATTCTAGCTTCCATTTATTGATTTTATCTCTCAGGATATTCATATGTTTTTCTGTATTTTCTTCCATTTCTTTGATTTTCTTACCATGGCAATTTTGAACTTTGTATCTAATGGAAAGAAAAGATCTTCCACATCTTTGTGGGAGGAGCTTGGAGATTTGTCCTCTCTCTGTGAGGAAACGTTTCCTTAAAGAGTCAAGGTTCCATGCGTTGTATTTTTCCATCTTCCCATTTTGTAGCTTTCTAGGTGGTTATTTTTTCAAGTGTATAAGGGTTCAGTACTTCAACTTTTCCAGAAGGTGGTGCTGTATGTCATGGAAAACTGGTCTGCAGCTGCTGAGTTAGTGGGTGGTGGAAATTCCTGGATGGATCCAGTCATTGGTGCAAGTGGTGTGCAACAGTGGCTTGTGTTTGTAGTGCTGAAAGTCCTCTTCCCTGGATTTCCGGGCCCATGTCTCTGCTGTCTGTGGGATTGTGCTGTCTTGCTTTACAGCATTAGCTCAAGTCCTAAGGGAGTGGGAGATGGAGAGGTGGAGCACTGTTTTGCACTCTGTCCTCTTCACTAGGGACCTGGCCCACCTGGAACACCTCAGCTCCTCCACAAGTATCTACTGTCAGCTAAGGGTACACTTCTACACTAAATCAGCTCAGTCAACTGTTACAAATTTCTTTAAATCCAAGCAGTAGTATGGATTAAGGACATTGGTATACCAAGGATTCTCAAAGAGGATACAGAAACATCTTGTATAATACATAACTTTAAAAATTTATCATTTCTCAGATAATTTGTTTTGCCAAGAAGATCTATCTTTTGAAAACTAATGTTCTTGCTTTATTATTCTTCTTTAAATGATGAAGACATTATAAAAATCTATCAGGGAGGGAAATGTTACAGACAAGTCAACCCTGTAATTAGTCTTTGGCCTGCACAAAAGGATCCACAAGTATGGGCAGTATGACATAGTGGGAAAGAACTCACTCTGTAATCAAGTGAGTTCGTTGAATGCCAGGTCTATTTGTATGACTGTGGACAAGTTATTTAACTTCAGTTTTATCATCTATAAAATGAGATGATAAAGTATATTCTTCACAAGGTTGTTGTGAGGCTGATGATTTATTTCTACATCAATTATAGCTATAGACATATAGATATGTGCCTCCACAGAATAAGAACTACATCTATATTTTTCATATTATTATTTTTTAACCAGTTCCCTGAGTTCAAAGGCAAGTCAAACTAAGTTAGGTGGTGACTTAGTGAGCAAGATTGAATAAATGGAGTCAGTAAAGAACACAGTTCTTGATAACATGTTAGTGATTTACAAAACAGAATCTACCTAAGTTCTTCCCTAGATCCCATGACTGAACTAATACCAACACGTCCATAGGGACATGGGGGTGGATTAGGAACCAAATCCTTCCGTCATTTGCATCTCCAGATTTATATTAGAGCTAAGAATTCTGAGATAAACAAATGTAGTGAATTTGGAAATGATGCATCAACTACTTCCTCCTGTGACATTAATAGTGGGATTCTCAAGGATCTGCTCATCAAATATCCTCCAGACACCAAGAGGAGAAACAACTCAGGATGACTGAAACCTGCAATCCCCCAGAGAATGGATTATCACCATTTCACACCATCTTGATTTTAACAGTTATAGGCACTGAGTGCATCATTGGTATCATTGCAAATGGGTTCATCATGGCTATCCATGCAGCTGAATGGATTCAGAATAAGGCAGTTTCCACAAGTGGCAGGATCCTGTTCTTCCTAAGTGTATCCAGAATGGTTCTTCAAAGTTTCATGATGCTAGAAATTACCTTTAGCTCAGTATCTCCACACTTTTATAATGTCGATGTGGTATATAATATATTCAAAGTAAGTCTCGTGTTCTTAAATTATTGTAGCCTCTGGTTTGCTGCCTGGCTCAGTTTCTTCTACTTTGTGAAGATTACTGATTTCTCCTATCCCCTTTTCCTTAAGCTGAAGTGGAGGATTTCGGGGTTGATGCCCTGGCTTCTTTGGATATCAGTATTTACTTCCTTGGGTTACAGTGCGCTCTTCTCCAATGACATTTACATTGTACATTGTAACACTTCTTTTTCTATCCCCTCCTCCAACTCCACTAAGAGAAAATACTTCACTGAGACGGATGTGGTCAGCCTGCTTCTTCTCTATAACCTGGGGATCTTTGTTCCTCTGATCATGTTCATCCTTGCAGCCATTCTGATGATCATCTCTCTGAAGAGACATACCCTGCATATGAAGAGCAATGCCTCTGGCTCTAGGGATCCCAATATGGAAGCTCACCTGGGGGCCATCAAAGCTACCAGCTACTTTCTAGTTCTCTACATTTTCAATGCAGTTGCTCTATTTCTTCATATGTCTAACATCTTTGATGCCAACAGTTCCTGGAATACTCTGTGCAAAATCATCATGGCTGCCTACCCTGCTGGCCACTCAGTGCTACTGATTGTGGACAACCCTGGCCTGAGAAGAGCCTGGACCCAGTTTCAGCACCAACTACGTTTTTACCTAAAAGAGTAGACTCTGCCACCAAAATCCAAAAGTATCAAGTACTTAGCCTAACCATCTCTGCCTTTTCCTCACCTAAGCCTTTCTTTCCTTTCTCTTTTCCTTCCCAAGCCTGATCTGATCTTTTCACCTGATGTGTTTTTATATAAGAGGTGATTTTCATTTCTCTCTTTTACTTCTTGGACATAATCTTAATGATTTTTGACATATTCTTTATGTGAGCCTTCTATTTGTACCTCCCTTTGTCCTACATAAAGCAGGGATTCTAGACACTGGCTACACATTCAAATCTCTAGGGGAGATTGTTAAAATACCAATGTCTTAGTTCTACCATAAATCAATTATGTCAGAATTTCTGATGCTGTAACTTAGACTACTTTTAAAATAAAATTATGGTGATGTGAAATTGCAATGAGAGTTGATAAAAGCCACTGAAATAGATGAATGCTCTGAAACTTGAGCTCCTGGCAACTTCTCTCATCCCCATACACATATACATGCCTTTTAAAGTGATTCAGATTATTCAGGAAGCTTTCTGAGCAATAGCTAGAAATACATTTTTTCTCTATCCTCCAAAGACATAACCTGAATAATCTGGAAACATTTAACAAAATTAACACTTCATAAAACACTCTTCAACCTGGGCCTCCCCTGGTGGCACAGTGGTTGAGCGCTGGGCTGAGAAGCTGCCCACAGCCTCTGCAGTGCTGGTTCGATGCCCGACCGCCAGCGAGGGTCCCACAAGGCACACAGACCTCTCCTGCCGTGCCCACTGCTCCCTCAGTAGTGTGCTTCTCCAGTCTGCCTGTTCTGTTCCCCGCTCTGGCTCTGGTGAATTCTCTCACCCTCCCGCACTTCTGACTGTACCCAGTGCTTGTATAAATAAATAAATAAATAAATAAATAAATAAATAAATAAATAAATAAATCTTTAAAAAAAGGAAAACACTTTTCAACCTGAAAAATTACTGTTTAAGAAATTTTCCTATATATAAGATATGGTGTATATATATATATACACACACACACACACACAAAGATCTTCTTTGTAGCATTATTCATTAATGAAAGGACTTGTATATCCATAATTAAATATTGTATAAACATTTCTTAAAGTGAGACAGATACATGTGTCCTTTAATGAAAGACGTCTAATGTATTGTTAAATTCAAAAGCAAGGAGATATTTTATGATTCATTTTTAAATGAAATGTACATGTTTCTGGTGTATATAAATGTGTATATAAAGTTTCTTGAAGGATGTGTCAAAAATGATTAGCAGAGGACTTCTGAGTAGTAGCATTGGGTGTCTGGGGATAAATAAAACATTTGCACTTCATCTTATTTCTTCCTGCATTATTTGAACAACTTAGAACATGTATGCATGAATTTCAAATTTTTTAAAGGTTTATACTGATTTTTTTATTACAAAGAGAATTAGGTAAGTAGGAAAGGTTTGAGGAAAAGGACTTAATTAGCCAACTGAGTCTCTCACTGTTTTTATAAAAAATGCAAACCCTCAAAATCATGAATTAAACATCTCACTCTCTTGTCACTACATCTTATTTTCCATTTTATTTGCTCAAAGGCTGCCATGGAAATGCCATGGGCTTCCAACCCACTGGCATTTCTATATTCTCTATTCCTCTGTCAATTCTCTACACTTCCCTTCATGTTCAGTTTGAGTTACAGATTAATCATACCCACATGCTTAAAATTGCTTTAAGTATTTACAAATGAAGTGACATTATGTCTGAGATTTGCTTTGAGATCATTCGGCAGAGGACAAAAGTGGAAAGTATCTGGTGAACCTTGAATGTCAACACTTAGAAGATGATTGTAAAAATTTTTAATTAATTTATAAAATTTCTGTAGCATATGAAAGCCATATTGAAATCCATATGTGAGAGGCATCTATAAAGAAGCACATTCAAAGCTTAGGTTCTTAATTGTTCTCTCAAAACACATATTTCCTTCAATTTTCTCCAACTTATTAATATTAAATAGTACTATAATGTTTTCCAAAGTACAATTCTGGGATCCAACTATGGGCCTGTTTTTTCTCCCCCCACCCCCTCCCAACACACACCAATTAATCAGTTAATCCTTCATTTCTTTTATGTGATGTATATAACTAGAGGATTGTTCATTAGTTGACTTGACAAGTATTGGCTGGACATCAACTACATGACAGGCATTTTTATAGGTGGCCAGTGTACAGTACTAAGCAAAATAAACTGGGCTCCTTTCATAGTATAGTGGGGAAGCACAGGATAAACAAGTTGTGGTACTTGACCAACTTAGCCAGAAAGGAAAAGTCTATGCAAGTAAGTAAGATTTAAAAAACAAGTAATTTTAAAATTTATAATCCCAAGAATTTGGAATTTGGAAGGATAATTACAAACAACTAAGAAAATCAGAAGGAAAACACAATCCATTAAATATGTAAGGATATGGAAGGAGAAAAATCCTTAAGAGCAAAAAAAGACAAAAGATTAGCCATAGGGCCTCCCTAGTAGTGCAAGGAGTTAAGACGCAACCTATGAAGCTATCTGCAGCCTCTGCAGCACGAGCTCAATACCCGGACGGCCAGGGAGCTACCCACATGGCGCAGCAGACCTCTCCTGACTTGCCCGCTGCTCCCCTCAGCAGTGTATTTCACTCAATCTGCCTGTTCTGCTCCTCACTCTGTCTCTGGTGAATCCTCTCACCCCATCCCCCCACACTCTGGCCTGTACCCCAGTTCTTGTATGAATAAATAATAAATCTTAAAAAGTAAAAGATTAGCAATAACGTTAATAAAAAACAAGTCTTCTATATGAAGACTACTTCAAATGCTCCAGAGGACTTAATTAGCCAACATATCACTCTCTTGTGAGAGTTAAATAGCAGGAGATTTAAATAAGTAGAAAGAGTTAATGTCATTAGATGAACTAACATTTAGTATGACTTTCACACAAATGCCAAATTTTTCTAAACAAACTGATCATAAATATTATTTAGAAAAATAAATCAAACAGGGCCTCCCCAGTGGCACAGCGGTTGAGCGCTGGGTTGCGAAGCTCCCCACGGCCTCTGCGGCACCGGTTCAATCCCTGGCTGCTCCCCGGCCACCGGAGGAGGGTCCCACATGGCACGCAGACCTCTCTTGCCGCCCGCTGCTCCCCTAAGCAGTGTACTTCGGTCCTTCTGCCTGCTCTGGTCCCCACTCTGGCTCTGGTGAATTCTCTCACCCTCCCGCACTTCTGACTGTACCCAGTGCATGTATAAACAAACAAACAAACAAATAAATAAATAAATAAAATACGTGCCTCCTTTAAATAAATAAATAAATAAATAAATAAATAGCTCAAACATAGCCAGAAACAGTCTGATAACAAAAAAAACGAATGTGGAAAAAATTAACCCCAAAAAATAAACATGTTATGAAGCCACCATGTTGAAAATAGTGTGGTACTGGGCGATGAATAAGCAATGAAGCCTAATAGAACATCAAGAAGCATGAGGATTTAGTAGACAAGAAAGTGGTATTCCTGTTACTTTTCTTTGCTCTGGACGTAACTTTCTCAAAGTCCTTTACCTTCTCTTCTTGACACTGGGCTCCTAACCCTCACTTACATTTGTCATTACTGGGAATTCCCTCACTGAATATATGAGTTGTAACTCTCAACTATTTCCTAGAGCCCACATTTTGGCATTTCTTTTATTACATCCTCCTGTGTTTACTGGAGCACATCCTAAATCCCTGCCTCAGAGAAGTGACCGTGAGAAGGTATTTTATTTTGCCCTTACTCCCAATCAGTAGTTTGCTTGAGTACACAATTCTAGGCCTAGCTCATTTCTCTTAAGCATTTTTAACTAATTTCATTATATTTTAGCATGATTTATTTATGCCTACTATTTGGAAGTCTGAAAACAACCTGTGCTTTTTTACTCTGAGGGGTTTTGTATATTCTTTTGCTAGAAGTTTTTAGGGGCTTCTTTTTATCCTTTGTAAATTATGAGGCTGGTACTACATGTGCATGCAACAGAAATCTGACTACAGTGAACACATGACATCTACTTTTTTTTCAATGTAACATGATATTGACCCTGGAGACTATGCTCCAGGAAGTGGTTAAGGATGTAGGATCTCCCTAACTTCCTCCCTTACTCTCCTCATGGCCTTGCTGAACCTCTGGTTCATGGTCACAGGACGGCTGCCACCCACAGAGGCACCCTCTCTACATGCCAGGTGAAGCTGTGGAAATGGATATCCCTGCTGGGAGATCCAGAGAAGAAATTGCTTTTCATCTTTAATTGCTCACACTTTCACTCTAAACAAAATCAGAGTAATTTCAGTGAGGAAGAGGGGAGAGCAATTCTGGCTCAGGCAACAAATAGCAAGTGCTTCACCTGGGAAAACTATATAAAGCCAATTTAGGACCTAGCCATCAAAAGACCATGTCTTTCAGCAGGTTTGAAAAATTTTCTTCAATTTTTAAGTCCTTCCATCCTCTCCATTTTCTCCAATGTCACTCTATGAAATTGCTCACAGTCCTATTTTTAGACCTCCTATTTTTTAGACCTCCTGGATTAAACAATTGTATCTGTGATCTCAGTTATCATTTTCATCATTGATTCTTGCTCTGCATTCAGAGAACTCACCTTAACTTCATCTTATTTTTACTGAAATTATATATTAATTGAATATAATTTTAAATTATATTTTTAATACCTAAAACCTTTTTTTTATTTAGTTTAATATCCTTTTTTTATCTGATAGGTACAATACCTTTGCCTTCTCTGAGGATACAAGTTTAAGTTTTTTAAATGTTCTTTGATCTTTCCTTCTTCAGGGTCATTTATTCTGAGCGTTTATCTTAGTCTTTCTCTTTCCGACTGTGGAGTTTGCTCCTATTTCTGATGAGCCCTGATTATTAATTCACGAAGGAAAAGGAAAATCTAGTTTGCTAAGAAAATATGGCTTCTCAGTAGGACATTCTCCTGAATGGAAGGCTGACTGGGAGCTAGT